AGAAAACAAAGAGGGGTAGTACAAAATACACGGCGTTCGCACGGAAAAAAATATATACAGTCCCCTTCTATTGAGGGATCCCTCAAATAATTTTACTTGAGGGACACCCTTTAGGGTCCCCTACGAATTTTTTTCAACAATCCAAACCATCTATTTTTCAAGTCTACATTCATAAATCATCCTTGAAAAAAATTAGACAAATCAAAAACTGTTTTGATATCCAATTGTGTCCTATAAAATCAATGAACACAGTGCTTCAAGAAAGTACTAAAATTTTAGTCATTCAATTGAGTGGTCATATGATATCGGATTCAAGTGATTTTTTGTAGAGATGATCTTTGAATGAGTATCTACAAAATAGATCGCTTCTCGTATCGACGAATTAGAAGAGATGTCAACCGGCAACCGTATCTGGAAACAACGATTAGTGGATATTGGTACTGTCACTGCACAACAAGCAAAGAATTGGGGATTCAATGGTGGAATGTTAAGAGGTTGTGTGACATGAAGACATTGATAGCAATGTTTGTTGACATGGACAAAGTCAACGAAAACCTCTGAAATTATTTCAATATTGGACCTTGGACATATAATAGTTCCAAATAGAATCTCTTTAGAAAGAAGATCTTTTGTCTCATGGTAGCCTGCTCCGGTTTGGATTAGTGAAATACAATATGGAGTGAGCCCTACAAGAGTGTCCCTCAAATAAGTTATTTGAGGGATCCCTCAACCGAAGCTCCCTATATATATATATATTGTTTCTCTTAACTATTAAATATTAACTAAACGCTTAATTACCACATTGGCCTTGGTCCTTGATTGGGGTAACAACTCCTTGCTTTCTCCAGTCCACTGTAGCTGGCACTTCAGCCATAACATTTTCGTATTTGAAAGAAGTCATCTTTGTCAAGCATTCATGCCCCTTGGATTTATTTCTTGTTGCTTTGAACTCTTAATTCGTAAGATCTGCAAATCGATTGACGCTTAACACTTGTATGATTTGTTTGCGTCGTTATTGGAAGATTCTATAAATGCAACATTTTCCTTAAATATCTTGAAACACTTTAAATTCTTGTTAATGTCATTGTATACTCGGCCATTACGAGCTAGCCATTGCTTGTATCTCCCATGCATAGATGCATCTTGCAGACTACAAGAAGTGGCTTCACAAGACCAAGCCCCAACATGAGGATGAAGCCCAAACAAATACCTAACTTGCACAGCTGGTTATTAATCAACTCTTAAACTATGAGGTAGTGGTTTGTTTGTTTTGTTCTACCATAACAAAACGGTAGTTTAGTCTATATTGTTGTTAATTTTATGTTCAATGGAATTGAATTTAATATGTTCAATGGAATTGAATTTAATCTATATTGTTGTTAATTCTATATTGTTTGTCAGACCAGAGACGCACGCAAGCTGTTCGATGAAATGCGCAAACGACTTGGGCGCTGTGCTGCTGGCTGCTACGCGCTTCTTTTTTTTTAAAAAAGCCTGGCCAAAATGACTGCTATGCATTGCGCGCAGCTCGCTTATTTATTTTTTTTAACAAAGCTTGGCCAAAACGACGTCGTTTTGGACCAGGCTTTTTAAAACGCATTGCTCTTTTTTATTTATTTTTAACATGGCCAAAATGACGTCGTTTTGGACTAGGAATTTTAAAAATTTATATACATAAGGCTTATTTATGTACATGCCCCATGTGCTTTCAAACTTGTCTCAGATTACCACATGTGTTTGCAAAAGTTCTCAAAATACCCCCCAACCTTTGAAAAACGGTCTCACGTTACCCGTTCCGTCAGTATTATTGACGTTCTGTTACGTGCTTTGGGCCCCACTTCGTTTTAATCTTTAACCTCTGCGAATAAGGATTTTTCAGTTCTAAGAAAGAGGGAAATTGGGTGAGAAGGGGAAATTGGAGAAGAGGGCTTAGGGTTTGTGAAAATCTGAGGTGGGCTTCGATTCTGGGGCGTGCTGGTATGCTCAAGGAGGCAGAGGAACTCATTGAGAGTATGCCAATGACACGAGATGTTGCTACTTGGGGTGCCTTACTAGGGGCGTGTAAGAAACATGGGGACCACGATATGGGAGAGAGGATAGGCAGAAAGCTCATTGAGCTTGATCCTGACCATGATGGGTTCCACGTATTGTTGTCGAATATATACGCTTCAAAAGGTAACTGGGATGATGTTCATGAGATTAGGGAAATAATGGTGCAACATGAGGTGGTAAAGATGCCAGGTTGTAGCATGATTGAAGCAAATGGAAGAGTTCATGAGTTTTTAGCAGGAGACAGCAAACACCCTCAAATAGAGGAGATTGAGAAGAAGCTAGATGAAATGGCTAAGAAACTGAAGATGGAAGGTTATGCACCAGATACAAATGAGGTTTCATTTGACATTGATGAAGAAGAGAAGGAAACTACTCTTTTCAGACATAGTGAGAAACTCGCTATTGCCTTTGGGCTTATCTATACAAGTCCGCCAACACCAATAAGAATAATAAAGAATTTGCGAAAATGCAATGATTGTCACATGGCAGCAAAGTTCATCTCGAAAGCTTTCAGTCGCGACATTGTGCTGAGGGATCGGCACCTGTTTCACCACTTTAAGCAAGGATCTTGTTCTTGCAAGGATTATTGGTAGCAGACTAGTATTACATAACCAAGTTGGTAAGAACATTATTCACCTTGTTAATGTTGGTTTATTGCTTTAGAACTTCTCCAGTTCTACCAAGAACTGGAAAGCCAGGGTGTGGCACCAACATGATGCTTTTGCAATCAAGCTAATTGCGTTGACAACACCAAATGGATCACGGGGTTGAAGATCAATGCAGTGACTACCTCTGAGAGGTAAAGGAAGGCAGTTATTCGACAACCTAATTTCTTCTCTAGATTCTCTCAAAATCGAAGCCCACCTCAGATTTTCACAAACCCTAAGCCCTCTTCTCCAATTTCCCCTTCTCACCCAATTTCCTCCTTTCTTAGAACTGAAAAACCATTATTCGCAGAGGTTAAAGATTAAAATGAAGTGGGGCCCAAAGCACGTAACGAAACGTCAATAATACTGACGAACGGGTAACGTGAGACCGTTTTTCAAAGGTTAGGGGGTATTTTAAGACGTTTGCAAACACAGGTGATAATATGAGACAAGTTTGAAAGCACAAGGGGCATGTACATAAATAAGCCTATATATAAATAAATAAATAAGGAAACTGTTGGGCCATTCGTGGGCTTTTAAAAGGGCTTCCATAATTCCTTGCTTAATTGGGTTTTAATTGGGAGTTCTCTTTATTTAATTGGGTTTTGGGAATTCCTTATTTAAGTGGGATTGAGAATTCTCTTTATAAAGGACCAATTTAACATCACTCAATTTCATCAAAGTGTGTGTGCATCACAAGAATCCTGCGTTTTTTTTTTTCCTTCTTGAGTACGCTAATCCCAAGTAAGTCGGATGCATATATTTTTTTTCTTGAGCAAACGCCAATTTTGTTTTTTCTTATTTTTCTTTTTTTAATATTTTTTTTTTCTTATTTAGCTCTCTCTGTATTAGTAAGATCAGTAGCAAACTCGAGGAGGAAGAGGCTACGTGAAATGCTATTCGAGGTATAATTAATTTTTATTTGTTTATTTAATTGATAATTTGATATTGATTTGTTTATTTAATTGATAAATTATAGCCAATTAGTCATAGTTATAGAAATAAAACCCTTATTTGTTTTTCAATTAATTATGAATAACATTAGTATATTGTTTAAATTATAAGGATATTTAGTTGTTTTTTTTTTTTTTTTGAGCTCTTAGCTTTTAAAAATTGCACCTCCGTTGAAAAATTCCTGGGTCAGCCGCTGACGGTATCAATTGTAGATATTTTATTTTATTTTTTGGTCGAGTTTGAATCAGATATTTTATCCTGATAGATTAGTTTTTTAAAATTTATTTATAATGATTCTGTTAATAGTTTGTTGATTCAATGTTCTCACAACTTTTGCCTCCAAGAGTTCCATTTTAGGTCCTCATTTGCTGTGGCATATTGGACACAAACTTCGCCAAAAGACTATTTTTCACATTATAAAAAATGAAGAAGAAAATTGTTAAGCTTGAATTGGATCCTCATTTGCTAGGCCGTCAACTTGTTAGAGTTTGTATAGCAAAGCACTTTTACTTTGATCCACATTGGAAGAGAGTAGCTTCCACACATGATTTACAAGCCCAACTCATTATAGAATTCTTATTCAACATTAAATAGGAAGTGGGCCTAATGGAATGGAAATTGGCCCCACCTTTGGATTGGGCTTTGAATATATAAACCACATATATAATTATCAAAGATTGGGTCTTTGGGCTTTGTTGATTAAATTTAAATTTTTTTATTAATTAGAAATTCATTTTTTTAGATAATATCATGATCTAATTAAAATTTGAATTTTGTTTGAACAATTATTACAACTGTTGGATGAAGAGGTATTGGACCTCTATATAACAGACAATTCGTTCAAGCCAAAAGTTATAGAATTTTGGAATCACATGATCACTTCTCCACAAATAATCACTTTATGAGAGAAAAACATATCATTGTTCGCCAGAAATCAAAGCCAATATGCTTAGGCTTTGATTTTTAATAGTTTAATCCTGCTGGGCAGTCTCCTATTCGTGATAGGCTTTGATTTGTGTACGAATTTGATTTATTGATATATATAGAATATGTTTCAAATTGTTTTTATTATGTTATTTGGTTAATTTCTGATTGTTCTCCAACACAACTTGAAATAATGTCAATTGAGCTATATATGAGCGTCTGTAAGTCCTAGTCTTTAAACTACAAAACAACTTTTATTTTTTCTCTTTGTTTATTATAGTCCTTAGATTAGGGATGGACATTGGGTACCAATTGGGTGTTAGGGGTGCCCTATCATATAGATGTTCTTGTTGCCCGATTTTCTTTGGTTGGTTCGTCTCCTTTATATACACTGACGGACTTATGTAGAGACATTTTGTGTAGGCTACAATAAATAGAACATTTTGGCAATATTTTGCGTGAATAACCCCGAGTTCACTCACTATCATAGGGGCATTTTCGTTCCGGCAACGGGCTTGGGTTGCTGTAAAGAGCCAAATGTGTGAAATTTCCCCTGAGTCTGAGTTCAAGAATTAGACCCTAAGAATGCTTCGAAAGGGTGGCTGAGCCTCAGGAAGCACCTTGGTTACCTTCACCAGCAAAACTAACAGTCGCTTACAGATAAATACTTAGCTTGGCATGAGAGGCTTGTGGCATGAAAGCAAAACAGTCATGAGTTTAGCATTAAAGAGAGAGAGGGCTATGATTTCCTATGGGAACCAGGGGTTTAAAGTAAGGGGGGAGGAATTTTGAGAGAATTAATTGAGGGGAGAGAGAGAGAAGGACAATGGGTGTGTTGAGTAACTTTCCGGCAGCCTGACGAAAGCTATGTCAAACTCTAGAATAGCTTGCCAGAAGAGAAAATGGGAGGAGATAGAGGAATAGAGCACGAAATTGCAGAGCTTCAAGGATGAGAGATAATGCTTGCTCTCTGGATGTGGGTTGAGATAATGGGCAGAGGGTGCCCTCCTTTTATAGCCGTTGGAAGCTCCTTCTTCCCAAGAAACCCTAATGGGTTCTCTCCAATTTTTCCAAGTCTCCCCTTCCATTTCTCTTCTCTCCTTTCGATTCATCCCATTTTGTGAAATCTTCCTCTGTCCAAACACACAAAGACAAGATTTTTGAGAGCTCAAAGGCTTTCCCACAGCTGCTTCAGTGTTGAACTCCTATTTTTGGCTACCACCTCACCTTCTTTCCTTCCCTCTTCAATGGCAAGAGCTGGTGGGAGAAAGAAATTGGTAAGGGCATTGGTTTGAAATGTGCCCCTTCTCCTAGCAACCTGTGCGCGCGCTAATATCCTCTAGTTTTTTTTAATGTTGTTTTGCCCACGTGTTGGAGCCTCCCAGCAGCTTACATACATAGGCATCTTTGGCTTTTATCGTTGTTTTTGTCTCCAGCTAAGTGCTGGAGATCTGCAGATATTTTCTTGGTTGCTTGGGCCTCTCTAAGGTGATGAGTTAGCCCATTAAGGGAATGAGCTGATTTCCTAAAGTGATGGACTACTTTACTAAGATGATGGGCCAATTTTCTAAAGTAGTGGGCTAACATTTTCTCTCCTTTATGCTTACCCACATATTTGGGCTCAAGAAATGGGCTTGAGTTTGGGGCTCCCAAGCAGCCAGAAACTTCCATTTCCCGGCTCATAAATGGGCCTCATGAATGCTCGTAACTGTTAAGCTCATAATTTCATACATATACATGCCCAAATTTACTTACTTCTTTTGCTTAGTTTCTTATAATTTTGAGTTATTTGCCTCCCTTTGTGTGTTTTGTAGGCCAAAAGAGCAAGAGAGCATAATTCATGCAATTCAAGCATGTTAAGGCCTAATTTGGATGAAGGGAAGAAGAGCTTAAAGACAAACTCATTTTGGCTACAGCCCCCTGCCAGTCCAGTTCCATAGGTCATATTGTAATCTTTGTTTCAGCAACCTACATAGCTCGGATGAGGCAACATTCTTCATGAATGTTGTTCCAATGAGTGTGTACTATAACATATCCAAAATTCAGCCCCATTGGATAAACATGGAGTCTGTTACCTAGCAAACACAGAGCCATGCTCAGGATGGATTTTATCAGCGCGCAAAATGAGTTAGCAATTTGTTTTGGCCTTAACTTCCTCCTCCGACC